TGATTGATATTTTCTTTTTCAAAAAATTTTATTAGTATGTGTTTGCAGTATCTGCAATTTACAACCAACCTGGGGTATGGTTACAGGTACATACTATAGCTTGTTTCCTTTTTCTTTATCCCCATTTTCTTTTCCTCCCTCTCCCTCTTCCAATTCTCCTGTCCCATTTTATATTTTTGTTGACATTAGTAATCTTAACTCATAGTATGGCACATAATGGTTATATTAATTGAGATTACTAGGTTCTTGTACATGGCATATCTTTATTTATTCTACCTTTTTCCCTTTCTCCTTCTCCTCACCCCCTGTCCCTGTTCCTCTGGACCTCTTCCTTATTGCAAGAGATCCATCTCTTGTCTCCCTTTTTTTTTTTTTTTTGTATTGGGGATCGAACTCAGGACTTTGAGCTTGTGAGGCAGGCAGCAGAACCACTGAGCTAAATCCCCAGCTCTTGTCCCCTTCTATCCATCCTTTATTAGTCTCTTTTTTTTTTTGTACCATACCTCACTCAAATGAGAGATACCATATAGTGTTTAAGCTTGTATGTCTGATTTATTTAATTCAACTTTACATTTTCCAAGTGAATCCATTTTCCTACAAATGTCTCAAATTTGTCATTCTTTATAGCTGGGTAGTATCCCATTATGCATAGATACCGTGTTTTCTTTATCCAGTTGTCCATTATCCAAGAGCCTGGGTATACAGGCTGTTTCCAGATCTAGCTATCGTGATTGTGTGCCACAAAAGGTAGTATGCATGTATCTCTGTAGTATAATATCTTAAGCTCTTTGGGGAAGATACCTAGCAGGGGTTAGCTACGTCAAATGAAATTTCTAAATTCAATTATTTGAGGAATTTCCATACTGATTTCCATAATGGTTGTATTAGATTACATTTCCCTCAACAATGGAAAAGGGTTCCTTTTTTTGTGGTACCAGGGATTGAACCTGGACCTTGCAATTGTGAGGCAGGAGGCAGCACCACTGAGCTAAATCCATCGTCTAAGGAGGGCTCCTTTTTAATCACAGCCATGCCAGTATTTGTTACTGTTTGATTTCTTAATGATTGCCATTCTTTCTGGAGTAAGGTGGAATCTTAGTATTATTTAATATGTATTTCTTTAATGGCCAGAGATGTTGGACAATTTTTCATATATTTGTTGACCATTTCTATTTCTTACTCTGTGAAATGTATGTTCATTTCTCTTGCCCATTCTTTCAGTGGGTCTTTAATTTCATTTGGCTTAATTTTTTCCAGTACTTTATATATTCTAGATATTAGTCTTAATTGTAACATGTTTACTTAAGTTCAAAAATTCTTAACAGAATTTCAATTATTTAGTATCTCCATCTTCCTCCCAAGTAATCCAGGGTCTTAGTATGCATTAATTATTCACAGAACACCTTCCCCATCTATGTCTACCTTAATATTTAAATTCTATCTAGTTTTGAGAAAATTATCTTTCTTTTTCAAGAGTCAACAATGAGTTATGTTTATCAACATATACCAAAGTCTGGATGAAATATTTTTCTTTATTCCATCTCAGCCCTATTATTTTTTCAAAATATTTTTTTCTGCCTGAAATATTCTTTAGTAGTTATCTTTATGAAATTCTGTGGGTAATAACCTCTTTTATATTTCCATTTCTTCTAGAGTGAATTCATTTCCAGTTGTTTATTTTGTTTCTTTCTTTCTTAGCTTTATTTCTTCATATGCTGTGGAACTTCAATATTCAATGAAGTCTCTTGCTATCTCTTTGTCTCTCCTCACCATAGGTCTCACATTCTTGAAGATTAATTAATGTATAATCTCTCTTCAGCTTCTTCTGAAGACCATTTAGTCAAAAACATGGTCATATATTGGTAGTTCTTGTCTCCAACCTGCACTGATTTGGAAGTTATAACATATACAGATAAACAAGCCAGCAGTTAAACCTGAGTTTGATTTTTTGTAACATCCTTGATATCCAGTTTTATACAAGTGCTTGTTCAGAAAATGTTTGTTTTTCTGTGCTGGGGATTGAACCCAGGACCTTTTTTGTTGAGCTATAACTGCAGCCATTTTTTAATTTCTATTTTGAGACAGGGTCTGCTAAGCTAGTAAGTTACCCAAACTAGGCTCAAACTTGCCATTCTCCTGCCTCAGCTTCCTAGACTTTTAAAAAAATTAACTTTATTGGTACATTCTAGGTATACAATACAATTATATTCATCATTGGGATCTTGTACCTTTACGTGACTTACCTTGGTTCTTTTTTTCCCCAATTCCCCAGCTTTCCCTCCACCCCCTCCACCCTTCCCTGTTTACAAAGACATTGTTTCCATGTTTTTCCTTTTTATGTATTTTTTTCTTTTCCCTTTTTACCCTTTGCCTACTCCTCCCACTTCCTCTACTCTTTTAGAGCTTTTCTTCCTATTATAAAATATCAGTTACACATTTTGATCCTTACTTACATTTTGACTTTTTCACACCAGTGAAACTATTTGATATTTACACATGTGTGTCATTAATTTCACTTAAGAGTATGGCCCCAGTGTACATCCATGTAGCTATAAAAATCTCTAGATTCTCATTCTTTATGGCTGAGTAGTACTCCACTATGTACATCTTCTTTATCCAGTCTCCAGTTGATGGACAATTGGGCTGTTTCCAAGTTTTAACTATTACAAACTGTGCCGCTATAAACATGGGTGAGCATATACTGCTGTGGTATGATTCTTTTAATTCTTCTGGGAAGATACCAAGCAGTGGAATAGCTGGGTCAAATGGGACCTCCAATCCTAGTTGCTTGAGGTATCTCCGTATTGATTTCCAGTGGTTGCACCAGTCTGCACTCCCATCAACAATGAAGAAGAGTTCCTTTCTCCCCACAACCCCACCAGCATTTGTTATTGGTTGATTTCTTCATAGCAGCCATTCTTTCTGGGCTAAGGTGGAATCTCAGTGCTGTTTTCATCTGCATCTCTCAAATGACCAGTGATGTTGAATAGTTTTTCATATGTTTATTTGCTGCTTTTACTTCTTTGCCTGAGAAATGTCTGTTCATTTCAGATGCCCATTTTTGAATGGGGTCTTTATGTTTGGGGGTCTGATATTTTTGAGTTCTTCATAGATTCTAGATAGTAGATGGCAGGCAGGTACCACCATGCCCAGCATCAGGAGCAGTTGGAGAGTTGTTGGGAGATACAGGGCATGTGAAACAAAACACAAGGGGATTCACACGTTCCAAAGAACATAAGCACCCAAGACATGTTTTTGAAATTCCTTCTTTTTTGGGTTTTTGGATAGTGGAAATTCTTGGTTCAGAGAGAGATGTAGAAGCAGAGGGGGACCCTCTCAGTATTTTTATATCAGACAATCCTGTTACTTTTGGAAATTTGTCTTGCATGCAAAGAAATATATAGCTCTTTGAGCAGCTTATTGCTTACATCCTAGTAATTTAGTCTTTGTATTAACAATAATGAAAAGAGGGCAACTATTTTGATTCAGTGGGAACTGGAGTGGCAGTCAGGAAAACTACTGGGTTCCAGCCTGCCTTAGTCAAGCTCTGTGAGCTGGGACTTCCTGTGGCTTCCTTAGCCCTGTTTCCTCCTGTAAGAGACAAAGAGGATGCTGAATCAACACCAAAAACTCAAACTACAGCTTATACATGAGGTGAGTAGCTTACGTTTAAAAACATTTCATTGGAGAATATTCAATATTGACTGCTCGTATTTTGTTCTTTTTTGAATCACTTGAACTGATGGGAATCTTGAGAACAGCTTTATATTTTTCACCATTCCTATCCTAATTCTTAAGACAATAATTTTCTTCATTGCTTCCCTGGCAAAGGAAAGCCATATCTGACAGCTGTCCAAAACAAACCATAGTTTGATAACAGTAAACTGAAAAGAAAAGGAAGAGAGATGCCTATAAATTTAGATTTCTGGTGAATAGACTGGTTCCTGGCCTCACAGATATCCCACTAATTATCTGTAATTTACCTATTTTCATTTTCTATGAAATTGTTGGTTTTAAGGTCAGAGTGCAGCAATTCATTGGTTTGTACTGCAGAAATAAATTGAGGGCATTTGGAGCTAAAGTCTTTGATGTGTGCAGTTGGGACCGTGGATGTGAAGCGGTCTCCTATTTATAGATGGACAAGCTTAATTGTTGCTTTTCAATTTAAATAGAAAGGCTCTGTTTACTGCTGCTTTTAATTGTAGCAAGCTGGTAAAAAAGCATGCAGGGCCTCTTCAGTAAAGGCAACTCAATAAAAGCATTTTGTTAGTAAATTATTATTGCCATCCTGAAAACCATGAACAGTATTAGAATATAATGGCAATCAGCAACTTAGCTTCTCCTTTGGATAGACCCAACATAATGCTTTTACACTACATTTTCTTAGTTCAGTAACTCTCTCTCTCTCTCTCTTTCTCTCTCTCTCATTAGAGCTGATAATGATGGGCACTGTGACTCTCTTTAATCTCATCTTTCTTTTACAGATGAAAAATCTGAGCTCCCTATTCAGGGCTGAGAATTATCATGCCTGAGTCAGGAAAAGGAAAGATTATCTGGGAAATCACCCCCTTTTTGTACATGCCTGGTCAGAAGAGGATAATAAGACATGCTGAGTCTTTACATATGGAATTCTCTTTTGAAAAGTTTTCTACTAAATGAACAATTTTAGGCTCAAATCCTTGGGAATTTGATATAGTCAAGGATTCAATTCTGATCAGAATAAAATCACAAACCCAACAGTACTTCAAAGAAGTATTGGCAGGGAATAAGACTGAGATGGTTGAAGGATTGAATTTTCCAAAAATGACCACAGAAATATTTGCAGTTCAATGTGCTCTCCTGGACCTTAGCACTCCCATCAAAAGCAGCAGTTCATGTTCTTTCTCTGGATCTTAACTCTTCAAGAATGCCTCCAAAAGTAGAATGTAACTATAGTGAATTTGAGTGACTTTTCAGGCTAGATGATAAAAGGCGCTAAATTTCCACTTTCTGTCTTTTAGGAGACTCATCCTTGGAGCCCAGCCACCATGCTGTGAGGAAGCCCAGACCTTGTGAGGAGGTTTCATGTAAGCATTTAGCTGAAGTTCCAGCCCACAGCTAGCATCCACACAAACGAGACTTTGAACTGTCTCAACTGGTACCTCAACACACAGAAGAAAGATCAGAAGGTGCAGGGAGAGGATAGCTGCTTACAAGTCAGAATAAATCAACATTGCTGACACTTTGAACCTTAGCCTGCAGAATGATTAAAAACACAGATTTCTGTTGTTTAAGTCTCACAGCCCATGGTACTGGTTACAGCAATCCCAGCAAGTAATACGCAACACTCTGAGTAAAGTATGTTAAGTTCGGATGAAGGATTTACAGATGCTAATGTAGTGAAAAAGGTAACTTGCCCAAGGTTACACAGTTTTATTTTCTTCTGAAAATAAGAAAACCAGGACTTAGGAATTTGACTTACACAATGGTGCACAGCTAGTTTAGAGAAAGATTCAAAACTAGAAAAGTCAAACCCTACCCTATATTTGTGCCATTTGGTGTAGAGTCCTCGGATGTGTCAGTCCCAGGTAGCTGCGTTAAGAGAGGTAGCAGCATTATGGGGCTCCAGCTTCCTCCACAGCAGCGTCCTCCTTTCTTCTTTCCAATAGAATCTCAGTCTTATTCAGATGCTCAGTCCTCCTGCAGCTCAAGCAACTCAGAGGACTCCCCTTAGCCTCAGGAGTGAATCTGATTGGTCTAAGGTTTAATTTCATTCCCTCTCTGTGATTGGGTTATAACAAGTCACTTGGGCCAGTTCTGGACAGTGATATGTAAGGAGGCACTTGTTGGAGACTTCTGGGACAGATTTGCTTTGCTGTTAAGAATCAACTATTCTCTCTTACTCCCCAGGTTTGAATGAAGATGGGTGAATCCACAAGTGTCCCCTGGTGGGAACCAGCTTTAAAAAGGAAGCCGATCGTGAATTTCAAAGACAAAACATGTAAAGAACCCAAGCTCTTAGAACTAAATTGGAATGCTGAATCAACTAACTTCTGTTAAATTGCCTATTGAATGAGTTTATGCTTCCCCATTAAAAAGCTAGTTTAGAGTTTTTGATATATCTGAAAACTCATGACAACAAAGCACATCCCAGTAATTCTAAATTCTCCTAGAAGAGTAAATGAGCCCTAAGGACATTTACTCTGCCTCCAAAGGACAAGCACCAAAATTTGCTCTATGGTTTCTAACTCTGTCTCCTTGGGCTGTAAATGGGCAAATGGTTTCTCTCACATATGAATGACCATTGAATGAAATGTGCAACATCTCCAAGCCAATGCTGAAGTGAAAATGTTGGAACTGAGATCTTAGCCTTAAGGTTGTTTGTTCTCTACAACACAGACTGAGGTTATCTGCAGGACCTAGGGCAACGAGACAGGGAAATCCTGGCCTGTGGAGCAGGCAGAGGACGGGAAAAGATGTCAGGCTCTCATCCTTTGCTGGTACTGTAGAGTTGTTTTTTGTTTTTTTTTTTTGTGGTACTGGGGATAGAACTGGGGTCCTTGTGCTTGCAAGGCAGGTGGCAGAACCACTGAGCTAAATGTCTGGCCCTACAGGTTTTTGACTCAGTGAAAATGAAATGATTTGATAGTTTTAGTCTGGTAATCATACAGAGAAACGAGTTTGAGGCATTATTTATATAATGAAAGCTTTCAAATACTAACATTTATTACAGAGCCTTGGTTCCTATATTTTATTTTTTTAGAATTAAAGTGATTTGTTTTCAGTATGAACTCTGGGATATATTGTATTCTTGTCAATCACATTGTACAGTTGAGGCTGGACAAGGATATTGATTTTTCCCAAATTGGTTGATTTTTTTTTTCAGGTCCAGGGATCAAACCCAGGACCTTGTGCTTGCCAGGCAGGCATAGTGCCACTGAGCTACATCCCCAGCCCATCTCCAGTTGGTTGAATCAAAACTTGAATCTAGGACTTCTGATTTTTAGCCCAGTGCTATTCCCAGCAATTTCTCCATGTGAGCTCTTTCTCTTTTAAAAATCACTTTAGCCTTAACATTTTTCAAAGTAAAAATTTTGAGATAATTATAGATTCACATGAAGTTATAAAAGATGACACAGGGAGATCTTGTGCATAGTTTCCCTGGGCCCCACCCTCAATGGTGACATCTTGCAAAACTATAGTAGAACATCACAACCAGGTTGTTGATATTGATACACTATAGAATATTTCTACAGGACCATTCAAGCCATACTTTTATTTCTATTCATACAAATTTCTCTTTCACACTTTTCTATTACTTAGCCCTTGGCAACTATCAATTTGTTTTCCATTTCTTTAGTTTTCTTATTCTAAGAATGCAGTATAAATAGAGCCATGCAACACGAAACCTTTTGGTTTTGGCTTTTCTTCGCTTAACATAAGTCTAGAGAGTCATTCAGCTTGTTGCCTGTATCAATAATTTCTTCCATTGTGTTGCTGAGTAACACCTCATGGTAAGGAAAGGTTTGCTAAACTATTCATCCTGGAAGGATGTCTAGGTTGCTTGCAGATTTTGACTACTACAAATAAATCCTCTATAAATATTCATGTCCAGGCTTTTGTGTGAACATAAACTTTCATTTTTCTGGGATAATTGCCCAGGAGTGCAATTCCTGGGTCATATGGGAGTGTATGTTTATTTAAAAAAACACTGCCAAATCCTTTCCAGAATGACTACTATACCATTTTATATCCCCAACAGCAATATGTGAGTGTTAAAATGTCTCTGCATCCTTGCCAATATTTGGTGTTATTGATTTTTCTTATTTAAATCATTCTGATAGGTAGGTAATGATATCTCACTGTGGTTTTAATTTGCTTTTCTTTAATGACTAATGATGTTGAGCATCTTTTTGTATGTGTTTATTTGCCATTAGTATATCATCTTTAGTGAAATGTCTCTCTTTTGCCCCTTTTCTAACTGTATTTTTTGTTAGCTCTTGAATTTTAAAAGATTTTATGTATCCTAGATACTAGTTGTTTGTCACGCATGTGGTTTGCAAATATTTCCTCACAATCTGAATCTTGATTTTATCCTTTTAATACGAATCTTCACGGGGCTGGGGATTTCGCTCAGTGTTTCCAGTACCTGCTTCGCAAGTGCAAGGACCAGAGTTCAATCCCAGGTGCCAAAAACAAAACAAAACAAAACAAACAAACAAAGAATCTTCACAGAGCAAAGCTTTCTAATTTTGATGAAGTTATTTTTATCCCACTTCTTGTTCTATGGACCATATTTGGTGACAGATCTAAAAGCTCTTTGCCTACCTCTATGTTTCAAAGAGCTTTCTTTGCATTTTTTCTAAAAGCTTTGTAGGTTACATTTAGCTCTATGATTAATTTTTGTATAAATGTGAAATGTGTTGAAGTTCATTTTTTTAGTTTTTTGATATATGTGTTATAATTATTTGTTAAAATGGTTTGTGGTGGTATTTCCTGTTTATTTGCCAATATTTTCTCTTCTTTATCTGTCTTGGTTGAGTTTTATAAATTTTATTGATGTTTTTGAATAGCTAGCTTTAAAATTTCATACATTTTCTGATTTTAATTTCATTGATTTCTTTTGTTATCCTTTTCATTCTTTTTATTTTGGGTTTATTTTGTACTTCCGTTCTTATGTTACAGAGGTGGTAGGTTAGGTTTTTTTGTATGCAGCTGTTCCCCACTTGTAACCCCTCAATGATACAGTTCACTCTCAGGACTGCTTTAGTTCTGTCCCACAAATTTTGATTCGTTATATTTTAATTTTTATTCATTTCTGTGCATCCTTTAAAAATTTCCCTTCAGATTTCATTATTGACCCATATATTAGTCACTTTCTCATGGCTGGGATAAAATCCCCGATAGCTGCAAATTGAAAAAGGGGGAGATTTATTTGGTTCTTGGATTCCAAAGGTTCATTTTGTAGTTGGCTGGTTCAGAGGAATAAATGGCATGGTAGAAGAGCACGTGAAAAGAAGGTGCTCAACCCATGACAGCCAGGAAAGAGAGGGATGAAAAGGTAGAGGGAGAGGGAGAGGAAGGGGGAGGAGGAGAGACAGAGAGAGCAAGAATACACTCTTCCAGGTTATGCCTACAGTGATTCTTCCTCCAAGCAGGCCCCACCTCCTAATAGAACACTTAGCTATGAATTCCTTAATGGGTTAATCCACTGATGGTGTAGTTCTCACATGATCTGATCGCTTTTCCAAGGCCCCACCTCAACATAGGAGTCTTTGTGAGAACATTAAAATCTATACCATAACAGCTCACATATTACTGAAAGGTCTGTTATTTCATTTCCAAGTCTTGGGAGACCTTCCTGTTACTTTCTATTATTGACTTCTAGGTTGCTTCCATTATGGTAGAAAATACTATATGAATTCAATTATTTTAAATCTGTTGCTGCTGGTTTTATGAGGCAGGAATTTGTCTGTGTTGGTATAGTGTATGTGCATGGACACCTGACAAGAATGTGCATCTGCTGTTGGTAGTGTAGTTCAATGGATGTCAGTTAGATCCTGTTGTTTGATAGTGCTGAGTCTGTTTATGTTTCCTGAGTTTCTGTCTAGTTGTTCTATCAAATACTAAGACTGTGTAAATCTCCAATTATAATGTAGATTTATCTATTTCTCTTTTTAATTTTGTTGGGTTTTTTTTTTTGGTATGAAAAATTTATTGAGAAAAAGAAAGCTTCTGTCTAAATGAGATGGAAAGGGACAGAAAGTGGGTTGGCCACTCACCCAACTTCTCAAAGGTGTTTTATGGCATAAAGCCATGAGGTGAGGTGGGTTCAAGATAGGACAAAACTATAGTCAACTAGTGAGATATCAAGTACAGTTGAGATCCAATACTAATCCAATGAGAAATCACAAAGTGGACAAACTATGAACAACCAATAAGATTATGACAAGTATAGTTGATAAGGTAATATTAATTAAGTGGGGATCCAATGGGGGAAAATGTCACATAGCAAGTGTTTAATTAATGAACAAGGAGTTTTGATCATAAGGAGTGGGTCAGCGATCTTTCTTGGAAGATCTTAGTCATGTGTCATGACCCCTCCACCTGTGATTGGTATTTATTTAGAATATCAGTCACTGTTATTCATCCTTAGGTGGAAGTACATGGGTGTGGTAGCTTCTCTTCTTTTACAATGCTGACCTTCATTTAATGTGTCTTGATTTCCATTGTTGGCTTCTCCACTGTCCTCCATTTTGGTTCCTTGAAGGCCAGCCCTGTCTGTCTACAAGATATCTAATTAACTTACCTATCTACAATATTCCATTCTGCCCTCTGAAGAAGTACCCTTAACTGCTGTGAGGGGTCAAAGGGCAAAGACTGTTCTGGCTATTTCCCACTGAAGTTGGTTGTAGCTGTGATTAGCAGTCAGGGTTACTCTACAGAGGTTTTGTCTAAAGGCCCTTGATAGGCTCCAGGCATTGTCATCTTGGGTAAGCATATAGCTTTGAGTTTGGAGAAGACAAAGCCAAAGAAACAGTTAAGAATACATGGGCCAAATAATAAGGTCAGCAGGATTGCTATAAATATAGCTAACAAGCATTTCTACCAGGAGAAACTAGTAATAGCTTCCCACAAGGAAAAAGTCAAGGGTACTTCAGACATAGAAGTTGTATTGTGGTTTAGCAGTTATGAACTTTTTACAAGGTCAGTCTAGTGGGTTCTGGTAAAAGAAATCTGATACATTTATCTTTGGTTTCATTTGTATGACTACTTGTAAGGATAAACAAAATTTTAAGAAATTAGAGTATGTATAATCTAGTACATGAACACTAGAATGGAAAGGCAGGTTGGGGAAAGAGTCAAATGTAGAAACTGAAATAGTGATTGTAACCTGTTAGTTAGTTCTTAGTCTCTTTTATTGATGGAGGTTATCTATATGTCTGATATTTTGTCATAAATCTGTCTAATCTTATCTGTAAGAAGATAGAGATAATTTGA